AAACATTTTCAAAAATGAAAGTTCATTTCATTTCTTTTTTTTTTATTGTGCTTTAGGTGCAAATTTACAGAGCAGAATTTGTTTTACATTCAACATTTCATGTACGTTTGGATTCACCCCCCAATTATCATCCCCAACCCTAACCCACTCTCCTCTTCTCCCTTTCCAGTAACCCCCACTTCCCTGTGCTCTTTTTAGTTATGCACTCATGTCTGTTCAGCTTTTCCTCTGTGTGAATATTGCCCCTCTGGTGCCCAATGGCCGATTGCTCCAAGGGATGTATCTCCGTAGAGTAGATGGGTGCATCGCCTTGGATTGAGTGTTCTGCATATAAGTCTTGTTTACTGTTGGTCTGAGAGCCAGCCCTTGGGAGCGAGTTTTATCCCAGGACCAAAGTATATCCCAGGGCCATGGTCTTGGGGGTCCCACCATCTGACCAGTAATTTGTCTAATTATTGTGTTTTTAGGTTTTGTTACATGTTTTTCCTCCCACTCTATCCAGGATCTCCAGTTTTGATCCCTTCCTGAGTGGTTGACATTGGTAGCTGGGCACCACCTAGTTCTGGTCTTGAGGTCCATCATATCCTAGGGCTGATGGTTTCCAAATGTCCTTGGTTTTCTTCACTCTTCTTTGCTTCCAATGATAGGAGACCATTAGCTGAATCTTAGATGGCCGCTCAAAAGCTATTAAGACCCAAGTTACTACTCAACAAAGTAGGTTGTGGAACAAGATTTTTATGTATTTTGTTGTGCCAATTGAGTCTGGCATCCCCCAATATCATAGTCCTGAGTTGGCAGATGTGGTGGGTCTCTTTCCCACAGTGTCTGGCTGTCTATGAGGGATTGCTGTATGTCTGTCTTCTGTTGCTTCTGTAATGACTGTGAGTATTTTGTATCACTAGTATCTGTGCAAGATTATCCTCAGCTGAATCTGTCATTGGTCTAGAGTATATTCCTGTTCACTGACCCCCATCTGATCTTCTCAGTTGTCTATGTCTTTATCTGTAGCCTGGTGTTTGGTGTTAATGCTAATACAATATTGTGGATATACTGGTGTTAGCCTCTGTTGTCTATGTCTTATGTGCACAATTTGGTGACCTTCCTTTCCCCAGGTTTATCATGCTGGTCACAGACTCTTTCCATACCATCCATCCCCTTACCCAACTCAGTGTGTGGCTCCCAACTAGTCTGAAATTATCTCCTCGTCTTCCCTCCCATCCCTGGTAACCTACAAAGTGAGTTCCCTTCCCTAAGCAAACACTTCCTTGACTTTTTACAGTAATGGGCTCATACAATATTTTTCCTTCTGCAATAGGCTTATTTCACTCAGCATAATGTCCTCCTGGTTCATCCACATTGTGAGATGATTCATGTATTCTTCATTGTTTTTTAATCTAAGATAGTATTCCATTGTGTGAATGTACCATAATTTGGTTATCCATTCATCTGTTGATGGATATTTAGGTTGTTTCCATGTCTTTGCTATGGTGAAATGTGCTGCAAATGAACATGGGTGTGCATATGTCAGTTTGTGTCCTGTTTCTCACCTCTTTA